GGGGGGGGGGGGGGGAGGGGAGGAGCGGGGGCTGCGTGCTTCGGCCGATCAAAGCAAGTTCAATATAACGCGGTTTCACCTATAATGCGGTAAGATTTTTTGGCTTCCGAGGACAGCGTTATATCGAGGTAGAGGTGTATTGTAGTGTAGCCAAGGTGGTGGTGGTTTTGGTTGTTAACATGTCATGGAAGGCAATCGTGTATCACAGTGATAGGTGGCCTTATACAAATCTAGATCTAGAGAGTTGGCCAGTTGCCCTAACAAGGGCATTTCTTCTTGGATCCACGAGGAACAGGTAGGGGTAACTGGCAACATATATTGATAGAATTGATTCAATGGGCCTAGCACCTGCCTCGTTTCAGCTGCCTCTCCATAGATGTGGAGAAGGTACTCTGTGTTTGTACAGTGCCTGGCACAACAGGGCCTCACCTCAGTCTTAGGCACTCCTGTAATAAACATGAATAATCTCATTGGAATCCAAAAGCAAAATTCCCATTGATTTCAATGGTAGAGGCTCAGGCCCCCTTTTTCAGCCATGTTGAACATATTTGAATTTGACCTTACTTTTTGCAGTTGGATTAGCATTTGTATAACCGGTCTTAAATCTCCTTGTATCAGTGGCATTATTTCTTCTATACTATACCTGGTTTGAGGTACAAGACAGGATGTCCCTCATCTTGTCTGCTTTTCAAAGTCGCTAGTTCTACTAATATGTGCATTTCAAAACAGAGACGTGTTAGAGTTGGAAAGAGAAGTGTTCCCTTTTCTAGAGTGCTGATGGCTGTGTTTGCATTTGCTACATGTATTTTTTCTATTGCTGACAGTCAGCACTGCACCTGAAGTTATGAAATTGATGCATTTTTCTACTGGTGGGGCCAGTTCAGGCTGATTCCTTAATGAACATCTCGAAAGAGAAACTGACCGATTTACCTTCCCTTGGTTTAACCATGACATCACTGTCATTGTGTAGATGCACACGCCATCCTTCATCGTGAGCTAGAATCCTGGGCTCTGGCTTCCCATACATTGTCAGTGGGCCCTGATGAGGTGTCACTTTGGTAAATGTTTCTCCATAAACAAACCTGGGAGCAAGCAAGTGCCAAGGTGCTAGTTAAAGCCCCCGTTGCTGTCTGAGAGCACTGTCTCAGTCACCGTGAAACTTCTTAAATTATTATTTAAATTGAAAGAAAGAAATGAGATGCCTATACAAGGCTATAGCTGACCAAACACATAATTAACATGACATCAGAACACCTGCAGCATTAAAATAATCATTCAGACAGGAAGTCTCCTAGCTAGCCACCAACAAAAAAGCTCCTTTCCCCTGCTTCGTCGTTTTACGGAACTCTCTCAGCCCTAACCCTATTGAGCAGATGTCTTTTGTAGCCTGCCTGAAAGGTCATAAAATCTGGACTGTTGCGGACCAAGATGAGGAACAAGTTTCAGAGTCCTGGAGCCCTCCCAGAGAACATGCTGCCAGCTACTGCCTCTCTTTTACAACATAGGGATCCAACTTGAGTGCCCCGGCTGAGTACCACGGCTGCAGTATGGCCCGGGGACCGAGGCAATCCCTCAGGTACGTGGGTACCAAGCCATTTAGGCTGACAGAGTATGACATCGCTACTTGTGTGCTATCACCACATTGGTGTTGTGTGGCTAGATTGGCACCTGCCATTTGTTCGATTAGGCATGATCAAAACGTATCATTGGCATGGCTGAGATTTTTATTGTGGCATGAAATGTGACCAATGGAAATACAATAATCTAAGTGCTCAGTGGTGCATATGTGAAACATGGTAAATTCCGGGTGTGTAACATGTATAATAATTAGCCATTGCTTGGAAGGAAGCACCTCCTTAATATGTTCCAGGATTATTGCATTCTTAACTACTTTTGCTTTTCTGAGGTTTGGGTGTAACATCTTTTGGGAGAAGAAAGTCCATAGAATTCAATTACAACATGATTGAATTTGCAGTTGGATTTGCTGTTGATTGAATTATTAGTTATTGAGATGCTTTGATAGTACTGTGTCAGCTTGGGTTTTGCCAAGGACTAGAATATGACCACTTTAGTTAAATGCATTTAGAATGTGTTGAATTGCTCTGATTATGTTGTGAAACCTTTCTGCAGCTGAGCATATTCCAAGAGTTAATTTCCTGCGCTCTTAAACCTACATTAGCAGAGAACATTATCGTGCATTGAGATTCTGGTGCTAGAATTAGTGGACAGAACATTTGTTTCAATGTAGTTTTTAAAAAAATGTACCAATATGGAATTTAGTTAGAATTCATAGTAAACTCTATGTATTTCTATCTGTAGGATTTGTGTTTGGAAGGCTATCTACATTAAATCTAACTCTACCTCTTTCCATCTAGCAATAGTCATTATTAGGGAGTTTAAGATCAGACAATTTTTCAATTATAGCTTGTTCTTTTAAACTGTGCAGCTAATTTTCCACCCATTTACTCTGGTTAGAATTCATTCAGTTCTGACTGAAGAACGGTGCAGTGATTCAAACAGATCTGAATGTTTTTCTGTTCCTTTAAATGAGAAAAAGGTTTTAATAAAATTTCTTATTTTTGAGCAATTCTTTGCCTGACATCACTTCTGCAGTGCTAGAATTTGAGCAGCTTCACAACCTAGAAAGCATCTCTATTGTTTTGGAATACAAAGAATGTCAGCCTGCTTATTTGCTTTCTATTTTTCACTAGGGAGTTAAATTGTCCGAGTATCTTTGAAAAGTTTGTTTGGAGCCATTTGTGCAGGTCTTTATTGGAAGGTTTGCTATTCTGGGATTCTTTAGGATTCTTTAAATAGTATCATTCTATCTATCAAAGTTTTCAAATAGACAATGGGTCATATTTTGCTCTCATTTACCGCAGTGTAAATCTGAAAGATCTCCACTGGCTTCACTGGATCAATTCCCAATTTATTCTGGTGCAACTGAGAGCAGAGTTTGTCCCAGTAAATCTGATTGTTGTATTCGGTTCTGTATATATCTTTGTTTGGATCAGTTTTGTTAGTTATACATAGAGAAGGGCCTGAACCAAAAACCGGAATCCTAGCATTCCAGGCATTGGGGAAATTCTGATCTGGATTCTGAGCTGAGCGTTGTGGGTTAGGCCTAACACTAATTTTGTAAATAATTAATAACTTTAACACTTTGCCATTGTGAATCATCCCGTAAGAACTACATCTCGCACACACCCACCACTTTGCTCATTAAAGGTTTTCCACCTGCATTAATAAGAACAGTCGCTCAAATTGGAGTAACACACTGGTGAACCAGGCCCAGAATTCTCCTTCCATGGTGACTATTCTAATGACTACAGTAGGAGATCCTTTAATGGGCGAAATGTGTGGGAGATGCAGTTCCTATGGGATGACGCACAAGGGGTCTCAGAATGTCTGCACTGCAGCTACCAATTCTGACCCACCCCAGTCTGCAGTGATGGGGCTGGAGAAAGTACGAATAGCAAACAAATCTCTTAAAGAGCCAGGTTAGAATATTCCAGGAAGGTCTCTAAGAAATGATGTATACAGATGATGTTTTGATTACTGTTCTAAAGGTCTGGCATGGGAAATTAAGTACCCCAGCCGGCAGCCATTATGGGTTCTTTTAAAAAAAATTAAAAATCCACTACAATTTATAGCACCATAACTAAATCTATCGTCTATAGTTGGGTATAATTTACAATAGACTGCGCTAAAGTAAAGCGCCTATAAATCACATAAAAAACAATACCACAGGAACAGGAAAGAAAGATAAACAATCTTTTTTTTTTACCTACTTAGCCCTCAGTTAACTCAAGTTGTCAGTGCAGGATTTAGGCCCAATCCTGCTGCCAGGCATGCAGGGAGCCATAACTAACACCAGCCTGGGACAGTTCCTGAGTCCAGGGAAAAGGCAGTGAGTCCTGCCAGCTAACTTCAACTGGTTCTACAGAGGCTTTTCGGCTCAGTCCTGAGGCAAAGACTTGCGTGAGCTGTGCAAAGGCGGCCTCGTCCTCACAGTAAGCAAGGGAATCCAGAGCTCAGAGGAGAATTCTTTCCCCCTTTTTCTCTCCTTTTCAGTTGATTCTTGGTGTGTGTGTGTGTGCGTGCGCACAACTAGACCACTCCCCGCAGTGTGAACTCAGCCAGTGTGGTCACCTGCTTGGGAGGTGGGTCTTTAGTCACTAACGCCTATTCTGACACAGCATCTACTGACCTTTCAAACTAGGGTCTCCATGGTAGGGGAAGATTTTGGGCTTTCACAAAACGTGGGGGGTCAGGACACTGTTGTGATAATTTGTGTGAAACTCCGAGTGAAGCCATAACCTGGGACATTAGCCTCATCACACACCCCTGCTGGAATTATCAAACCAAAGAGCCACATTTCACTCTGCTGCATTGTTTAAAGTGGGCTGTTATTTTGGATACCTATAAATAGTTTAGTATGTTTTTTCATCTGGGTTTGGAAGTAGGAGAAGAATGGCTTTAGTATATTTGAAAGATTTCAAAATGTACTAAGCCATTGAAAAGTGAAGTTTTCTCCCGTTTTTAGGCAGTTCCTGAAAAACAGCTGCATAATAGTTCACCCGAGGGTGGCACGTGAGGTCTCTACCAAAAGCCAGTTCCCATTGGCCATCATAAATATTGCAAAATATATGTATGGGAAATATTTAAGGAGTTAGGTATCTAAACTAAACATTATGCTCTTTAGGTCTTGGCATTAAGGCAGGTCACCAGGAGGTGACATACCTGGGAGATGTTCCTTTCAGGTGGGAGGTAGCTGACACCTAGCTCCCTGTCAGGCCATTGGTATACTGGGCATTGTATGCCTGTTGGCATACTGAGCCAGGTGCAAATTCAGCGATTGTGAAATTGAGAAGAGAGGAAATCCAAAGGAAGAGGCAAACAGCAGGGGCATGTCCTGTTTATGAATAAAATAAAGGATTGGTCCAGTGTACCTTGGAGTACAAAGAGAGACACTGAATACTTCACCTAGGAGGCAAACTGACAGCATGCTTACCTCATGAAAGGAAGGTCTCAGCCAGCCTGGCTCTGAAGTGCTGCAGGGATATTGGATGAGTAGCCGTTTATTAGACATAAGAGTATCTGGTTAATTAAGTCTAGGCTGTAGAATGTTGCTATGATTTTATTTGATATGTAACCATTTGTTTCCAGGCAAGCCTATTTACAGATTTCCTGGGACAGCTACCTCCGAAGGGGGAGGATCAGGGGAAATACTCGGACAGGTGGCAATGCTAATGAGCCTCCTACTAAAGTCAAAGGGAGTTTTCTCGTTGACCTTTATGGCAGCAAGTCTGGGCCCCAGAGTAGTCGAAGTTTGAGCCAAAGTGTAGATGCCCCAGAGGCTGCCTTGTGGGTGGAAAAAAAGGATGTCGGACGTGGCGGTCTGAGTGCGAGTGAAACCTGCTGGGGAGTGTGGCACAGGTCGCCCATCCACACAGGGCAGGAGTCTGTTACAGCCCCAGCGAGGGAGGCTTGGGTCTTTCACTCAAGATGCAGCAGCTCCTGTAGGCAGCTCTAGAGGGCCCTGGTTCAATCCCCATTGTGTCAGCCATCCTGTAAGATGACCCCATTAGCTTTGCAGACAGTGCTGCGCTCCACAGAGGGGGTGGTTACAGCCAGTGGGGCAAGTACAGCGGTACGGTCTGGTACGCCGTACCAGTAAGATATTTATAGCCAGTACGGCCTACCGGAAAGACACAGGAGGAGCCCATCCCCAGCCCTTCCACACAGCTGCGTCTCCTAAGTCCTGCCTGGGGGCTGTACAGCAGCCCCGCCGGAAGACAAGGCTGGAAGGGCTGGGGGCGGTACAGCTGCGCCGGAGGAGCTGCTGGTATGGGGATGCCTGGCGACCCCATGTTCTGCTCCTTTCACTGCTGCGGTTCTGGAGAGCCCTGATCTCCCCCCGGGCTGGGAGTGGGGCAGGGAGGAGTCACATGGGAGCCATGGGGGGAGGTCACCTCCCCTCCCTTTGTGTCCGTCTCATGAGTGCAGCGTACCGGCAAGAAATGATTTCTACTGGCACTACTGTTTGCAGCCTCCTCTTGCACTCTGCTCTCCAGCTAGACAGCCGCCCTGCTGCAGAGGAGCACAAACTTGGAGGCATCCACATTATACAGGCACCATGCCTCCTCTCTCCACCCAGCTCTAGCTCCAACAACCATAACCCCACCCTCAACACTCTGCTCAGAAGATTGTTTTCAATGTTCTCGCTGCTACAGAAACCCTCCTCTGCCAAGGTGGAGCCTCCCGGTCCTGCCGTTTGCCTCCGCGAGTGGTGGTCAGATGGTCGAGTAGGTGGAGCTAAATCACATGAGCCAGGAAAGGACAGTTCAGTCACTTGAAGGAGAGGGAAGACCCACTGGCAAACTCAGTCAAATAAGGGAGAAGTCGTTACTCAGAAATACAGAGAAATCACTCACTGAGGGACCTCCCATGCTGTCACAAGCACAAAATGCAAAAGGAGTCTACTTTCATTCCTCCCAAAAGGAAAAAGTAACTCAGCTAAAATGACATCAGATTTTGCCATCAAACACCTCAAAGAGAATACTGCAGGAACTAGACTAAGATGACCCCAAAACCTCAGTGTAACTACAACCCTAATCTCACTTTCCTTTCATTCTGAACTGCTGGCTCTCTCTTGTAGGTTGCTTTTAGGGCCATGAGAAGATAGCTTCCTGTCTCTAATGAGGTAAGACTTGGCAGCTGAGAACTCTAACAAGCTGCATCCTTATTAATTAAGTCTCTTCTCTCCTCTGCCTTTTCTTTTCTCTGTGTTGTTCAGTTTCCTTTTGTTGGTTGGCTAAATTAACTGCTGGGCAAATTTATTTTTCAGCTTGCTTTCTGTAGGCTTGTTACCTAGCTATGAGCATGGCTTTATCGATTCCTCTGTTGTTGCACTGAATCGGAGACGGAGTTGATTTGCTGGAGAGAAGATCAGCTTGGCCTTTGGTCTTTTTACACCTCTTTTGATCTCACAATGACTGAAGGCCTGATCCAACATACATATAGTTACTGGGGGTCTTTCCATTAACTTTAACAGGAGTTGGATCAAGTCCCAAATGCCCTGGAATTTGTTGCCCTGTGGTTTTATCTTCTGGAATGCTAGAGCTGTGATATTTATTAACAAGTGTTCGCAAAAAAGAATTGCTGTTATTTATGTTTAAAGCCAAATATAGCAACATCGCTTTAAGATGCCAGAACAGTGCCGCTATTTTACAATACAGCAGAATACAGTGGTGACGCATACTGCTGAAATTCCAATTAAAAAGATATGACCCTATTTCAGAGTACCTGAGAATAATAGTGACATTTATTTACCATAAAATACAATATGTTCAAAAAGGATAGAGGTGTTTATTTTACAATCTGTATTTATAAGCTGCTGTTTTTTATGTCTAAAATAAAACACAGGAGGAGTATTGTTATTGATACAATAGAATGGTTGGTGTCCTTTCTGGTATAGTCAAATACTTCCGACAAGAACAGAATGGAGATGTTTATTTCAAAATTGCTAACAAGCAGAAGGTAAGGCTGGGCGATGGAGTTGGATATTATTTATTATATCAATTTATTAGATTTTCTATGGTACTCACTAGCATATTTGAGCAACTCATAAGCATGAACTAATTTAGCCTCAACTTATGAGTCAGCAAAACGTTCTCAGGTTTACAGATGAGGAAACTGAGGCACAGAGTGATTCAGGTCACACTGGAAGTCCATAACAACCGGGAGTAGAACCCCATTTTTCTGTTCACTAGTCCAGTGTCTTACAAGATCATCTTTCCTCTATATGCAATAGGCAGTCACACTGAGTTTGCGCTCTTCCTTTTAGCTAACAAAGCAGTATTAATTAGAAATTGGAGAGGCTATCAAAATTAAGAACTCAGTAATAGTAGGGGATTTCAGTTATTCCCATATTGACTGGGAACATTTCACTTCAGGACGAAATGCAGAGATAAAATTTCTCGATACTTTAAATGACTGCTTCATAGAGCAGCTGGTACAGGAACCCACAAGGGGAGAGGCAACTCTAGAGTTAGTCCTGAGTGGAGCGCAGGAGCTGGTCCAAGAGGTAACTATAACAGGACCGCTTGGAAATAGTGACCATAATACAATAGCATTCAACATCCCTGTGGTGGGAAGAACATCTCAACAGCCCAACACTGTGGCATTTAATTTCAAAAGGGGGAACTATGCAAAAATGAGGGGGTTAGTTAAACAGAAGTTAAAAGGTACAGGGACTAAAGTGAAATCCCTGCAAGCTGCATGGGCA